GAAAAAGAAAAAAATTTTAAAAGAAAACAAGAAACTATAAAAAAGTAAAATAAGTAATGCGCGTATGTGGAAATCGTCGATGTGGCCGCTACCCGATCATTTTGGGTCAGCTTTTCGGCACTGTATATTGGTAAGTACTGATCAGAATTTTTTTTTTGTTTTATTACCTTCACAAAAATATACTCTTTAATTCTGTAAGAATTTGTTTTTTTTCTTCCAAAATTTCTTGGACACTGGGGCACCCCTTCCGATTTTGGCCTTGAACCCTGAAAGGGTTAAGTTAGCAATAGAAATAAGCATTAAAAACACAATAAAAGGTAAGATACACACAGAGTACACTTATTGCTTACCTTAAAATATTAATATTAATGTGTGAGAGGTGAGTGGCAGGGTGTTTATTGAATAAAATCAGAATGACACACCATCATCCTCTAACTTGGCACTTAAAGCAAGAGGCTTACCAGCTTTCTCTGCTTGATTTGAAGCCGTTAGAATTTATGAGTATATATACGTCAAACACAGTGGCTCTTTAAGACGTGTATGTACGACCAAACCAGTCAAAGGTTAAGGTAAGTAATGGGTGTACTGTGTATTATTACTTTTTATTGTTTTAATGCCTAGTTCTATTGCTAATGTAATATATGTTAGTGCAAACTTGTTACCTGTCATTTATATGCATTTATAAGTGGGAAAAAAGGCGTTCTCCTTTCCGGCGATGTCTGCTTGTCGGCAGTATCCTGGAACCTAACCTGCCGTGTAAGTGGGGCCCTACTGTATACACTTGATGGGTCCTCTCACCTTGTATACACCTCACAGTTCCCCGTCACTTATGGGACATCTCGGCTTCATATGACCTCAACCTCACCCAGCATCTGACACTACTATGTCTCAACTCTATGTATATATTGTTATTTTGATGTTGTATCTACTTGTAGATAAAATTATATTGTTATTTTGATGTTTTATCTACTTGTAGATAAAATATCTCCTTTTGCTACATGTGTTTTTTAGTTGGTTGTCAGCCATGCAATACTGTTACATGAAAATTTTGTAATAAATTCCAATAAAGTTTGTGAAGAGGTAAGATGATGATAACCCCAGTAATACCATTATGCTGGTAGTAGGATGTCTTACGTAAAATATTGCTAGCTTTACCTTCATTGTTTAGATATTTGAGTTGTTTTTATAATGGTCTTTGAAAGTTAATTCAAGGTATTGACAAAAAATGTGACATTAAAAGTACGGGTACTTGGAGCCTCTTCCTGGTACAGTAGTTTATATAAGCCAAATCTAATACTGAACTGTATAGAATATTTAATGTTATAATATTTAAGGCCTGCCTTAATTAACTACATATTTAACATATTTAATTCAATACATTCATTCACCAGCATAACTCAGTGCTTATCCTCATGAAGAACTTTAAGGAGTTGATTATTCATTTATGCTGTATGTTAAGGAATTTCAACCAGAATCATTGCAAGTGAAAAAATCCCCAAAATTGCTTTTATAAATGTTGCCTTAAAACTATTTGTTAATTAGATAGTTAAAATAATTACCCTTTGAAAATGGAAAAGAAGAGTAAGATTAATCTAATTTTGCAGGTCAAATGTTTCAAACGCTATGGGTCGTGTGTTGGATGGTCCATCCTCGGGTTCCATGAGCACACCACTCTCTTCTTCCTCTCCCTATTCCTCCTCCTCCTCCTCATCTTCATCATCCAAGCACAGCTCAAACATATAATTTACCTTTTGTACTTCAGGACCATAACTATGGTGCTCCTCCTCCCCAACTCCACCTCAGTCCCCACCTCCTCTGCCATCTTCATCAGGATCATCTGTGTACCAACAATCTTCTCACCAGTTTCACCAATCTCACCATCAGCACAGTCCTCAGCCTCACCAACTCATTCACTCTCAGAATTTACAGTCTCATCCTCCACAAAATACTAATGTCTATCATCATCATCATCATCATCCTCAACATAGACAGCAGTCTCATAATCATCCCCAGCATGTCAGTCCCTCCATAGACTAGGGATCATTACTTCATCAAGCCCTTCTCTGTCTCTCTCTGGCTTGCTAACATCTCATCCACTTAACACGATGCCACCTCACCGACAGCAGTTCATGCCACATCCTAGACGAGCATCTTTCCTTCGCCTCACATCCCGCCCCCTCCAGTAGAACTACACCAGTCCCCTACTGCTATTACTGGCCTCCCATCCTCTGTGACCGGGGCAGAAACTGATGATGACTCGCGTATGAGTGATCGGAGTTCGTCTGTGGGACCGTCTGGTGAAGAAACAGAAACTGCACCAGGGGAGAAGGAGATGATCAACCCATAGATGACTCTATTACACGTTGTGTCTGTGATTTTTCCCACGACGATGGTTACATGATCCAGTGTGATAGATGTTTGTAAGTTTTCCTAAGTATTTGTGCATCACATATTTGAATATCTCCTTTAACCCTTTGAGGGTCGACAGGCCCTCTCCGAAACTCGTTCTCAGGGTCGGCCAAATTTAAAAAAAAAAAAAATTATTTTCTCTTATGAAAAGATAGAGAATCTTTTCCCGATCATAAAGACACCAAAAGTTTGAAATTTGATAGAAAACTTACGGAATTATGCTCTCGCAAAGTTAGCGGTCTCGGCGATGTTTACGCACCGGCTGTTTTGCCCACTTTGAGCCCCATTTTCGGCCAATTTCACTGTACTAGTCGACAAAAAAACATGAATATTTCGCTAGAACTCATTTTTTCTATCGAATGGGTGCAAGAAACACTCATTTATGAAATTCAACTATCCAGTACAGTGGTCAGAATTAGCAATTTTGCCAATTTCACACAAATTTCAAAAGATGCCAATTCCGAATAGGGTCCAGAAAAAAACAAGAAAGACATTCCTGGCACTAAAATGACATTTCCTCTAGTCATTAATCATGTCTCAAGGCCCCTCTTATATTCTTTTGCTTTCCACTTTGAATTTTATTTTCACAAAAAATACAAGATTTACTGTTATGCAGACTACTGCATTAGTGTAAAAATGGTATAAATAATATTGGTGCACTTGTGAAAGAATATTAGACTCACCAGTTGACGTGTATTGCACGCTTGGCCACGATTTGTTTACTTTTGAAGTTTGGTAAAAATCGATCATTTCTGCTACTTTGAGCTCAATTTCAAGGCACCTTTCTTTGTTAAAACCAGTCAAAATCATCTCAATTTCTGTAATGTCTTCCATTCTATAAAATGAGACCAAGAAAACTAGAATACAACAATAAATACCATACGAAAATACACTGCAAAGTCGCTGATTTATTCAAAAAAAATGGTCAAAGTTTTTTTTTTCTTCATTATGCGCTGTGGTGCGCAGGATTTTTTTTTGATGTGCACACTGACCACATAGACCCATTCTTTCATATGAAGGCCTACCAGCTTTCTCCACTAGATTTGAGGCCGCTAGAATTTATGAGTACTAGTACGTCAAAAACCCCTACGCGTAAGACGTACTAGTACGACGAAACCCTCAAAGGGTTAATTAGCAGCTTTTTTTATCAATAATTGATTCAATAATATTGTCCAAAATTTATATTTCATATTCTAGGAATAACTTTTTTGTATTTAAAGTATTTTAGCTAGTTTTAATAAATTGTATTACAGTGGTTGTTAATTTTTCAGTGTGTGGCAACATGTAGACTGTATGGAAATAGACCGGGACATATCCCAGATGAGTACTGTGTGAAGCGTGTGATCCTAGATCTATAGACCGCTTCAAAGCTCGAGCTCTGCAGATACGCAGACGCCAAGAATTAAAGCTCACATAGCCAGGTGGGTTTACCACTTCTCTTGTATTCCTGTTCTCAAATCTTTATAAGTAATTGCTGATTATGCCACTTAATCTAATACTAAAAGTTCTTTCCATTTTAGAATGTCCTCCTCAGACTCGATGATAATATTCCAATGTCTGGCAAAGGCCGAGGAAATTTAGGGAAAATTCAAGAAAAGAAGGTGGTTAAGAAAAAGAAGGTGAAACAAATGAAAGACATTAAAAATGGACGCAAGGGATCGCTGTCTTTGTTAAAGAAGACCAGTCTTGTGAGTCCAGGCAAACAATAATGTTATCCAGGAACAGAAGATAAGGAACGCAGGATGCTAGTAAAAAGAAGAGTAGTACTTTATCATTGAAGTATCAGTCTGGTATCATTTTTAAATGTTATGTAGGAATTTGTTTAGTATGTGTTAAGATCTATAAATGGGATGATAGGTACTTCCAGCAAGCGTGCGTGAGCGTGTTAGATAGGAGTGAATGGAGACGAATGGTACTTGGGACCTGACGATCTGTTGGAGTGTGAGCAGGGTAATATTTAGTGAAGGGATTCAGGGAAACCGGTTATTTTCATATAGTTGGACTTGAGTCCTGGAAATGGGAAGTACAGTGCCTGCACTTTAAAGGAGGGGTTTGGGATATTGGCAGTTTGGAGGGATATGTTGTGTATCTTTATATGTGTATGCTTCTAGACTGTTGTATTCTGAGCACCTCTGCAAAAAACAGTGATAATGTGTGGTGTGGTGAAAATGTTGAATGATGATGAAAGTATTTTCTTTTTGGGGATTTTCTTTCTTTTTTGGGTCACCCTGCCTCGGTGGGAGACGGCCGACTTGTTGAAAAAAAAAAGAAAAGAAAAGGTACTGGATATCTTCTACTCTTGGAAATACAACTTCTCCTCACTTACCGATGGAGTTCCATTCCTAAGACCTGTCGGTAAACAAATTCGTCGCTAAGTGAGGGAGTCTACTATAGTGGCAATGGGTTTGTGTCAGTCATCTTTGATGTTGTTTTAATGTCACCTTTGCACATTTATAACATTTCTGGTATATTTTTAATTGTGTATACAGTAGTGTACTATATATTGTAATAAACAGAATATTTGGAATCAGCTGTAATATACATTATTTAGGTATGAATACTGGTCAGAGAGCCTGTCGTAAGTCCGAGGCGTTGGTAAACGAGTACATCGTTAAGTGAGGAGAGGCTGTATTAATACATCACTGACACTGGCTTGTAAGCCGTATCTGTATGTCATTGACAGTGGAAGGGTTAACAACCTAGTAAAGTGATGGGAAATTAGTAATTTGGCCAATTTCACACAAAGTTCAAAATATTCTTATTTCAAAGTAGGGTCTAGAATAAACAATGCAGGCATTCCTGGCACTAAAATAATGTTTCCTCTGTTTATTAGGTACTTTTCCAGGCTTTCCACATGAATTCCATTTTGATTATTCACAAAGAATTTTTTAGTCACCAAACAATAGAAGATTTATTATTATGCAGTATTGCAGTAATTGTATTAATAACACAAGCACATTCATGAACACACATTAGACCCACAAGCGACATGTATTGGACGTGAGTTGATTTGTTTTCTCTTGAACATTGGAAAAAATTGGACGTTTCTCCTACTTTGATCTCAATTTCAAGCCATTTTCAATTTACTAAAACCAATCAAAAATCATCCTATTTCTGTAATATATTTTCCCATTCTATCAAATGAGACCAAGAAACTGTGAATAAAACGTAAAAATTACGAAAATACACCACAGAATCACTGTTTTAATACAGAAAACGCGATCACAGTTGTTTTTCTCATTATGCACTGCGTGTGCTGCAGGATTTGTTTTATAAGAACATAAAAAAAGAAGGAACACTGCAGCAGGCCTACTGGCCCTGCAAGGCATGTCCAATTCTCCTACTGGATTCAGCCAATGCCCTAACCTATTTCATGTCAGGTAACTTCATTTAAACCCCTTTAAAAACGGCCCAAACGTATAAAACAGTGGGACCCCGCATAACGATTACCTCCGAATGTGACCAATTATGTAAGTGTATTTATGTAAGTGCATTTGTATGTTTTATGTTTGGGGGGTCTGAAATGGCTAATCTACTTTCAAAATATTTCTTATGGGAACAAATTCGGTCAGTACTGGCACCTGAACATACTTCTGGAGTGAAAAAATATCGTTAACCGGGGGTCCACTGTATATGTTCTTTCGCATAGCGCCCCAACGTATATACAGTGGACCCCCGCATCCCGTTGGCATCACATAATGTTAAATCCGCATACCGATATATTTTTTTCGCTAAGATTTTGCCTCGCATCCCGCTAAAAAACCCGTCAACGCTATTCGTCCGAGACGCGTCTAATGTGCGGCCTACCCAGCCTCACATGTTCCGCCGGTGGCATTGTTTACAAGCCAGCCTCCGCGGGGTAACACCCAAGCATACAATCGGAACTTTTTCGTATTATTACAGCGTTTTTGGTGATTTTATCTGCAAAATAAGTGACCATGGGCCCCAAGAAAGCTTCTAGTGCCAACCCTGTGGAAAAAAAGGGTGAGAAATATATCGAAATACTGTGGTACCATGGTCATCTGCTGATGCTGCTGCTGCTGTAGCCACTGTCAGCTGCTGCTGCTGTAGCCCCGCAGCTGCTGCTGCTGCTGTACCACCGTTTTGCTGCTGCTGCTGCTGCTTTTGTACCATCTGCTGCTGCTGTAGCACCGTCTGCTGCTGTGTAGCACCGTCAGCTGCTGCTGCTGCACTGTCAGCTGCTGCTGCTGCTGTAGCACTGTCAGCTTGCTGCTGCTGCTGTAGCCGTCAGCTGCTGCTGCTGCTGCTGTAGCACTGTCAGCTGCTGCTGCTGCTGCTGCTGCTGTACCACCGTCAGCTGCTGCTGCTGCTGTGTACCGTCTGCTGCTGCTGCTGTAGCACTGTCAGCTGCTGCTGCTGCTGTAGCACTGTCAGCTGCTGCTGCTGCTGCTGCACTGTCAGCTGCTGCTGCTGCTGCTGCTGTAGCACCATCAGCTGTGCTGCTGCTGTACCACCATCAGCTCCCTGCTGCTGCTGTACCACCGTCAGCTGCTGCTGCTGTAGTACCGTCAGCTGCTGCTGTAGCACTGTCAGCTGCTGCTGCTGTAGCACTGTCAGCTGCTGCTGCTGTAGCACTGTCAGCTGCTGCTGCTGTAGCACCGTTGTTGGTGTGGCTTATTGAGAATACCAAAAACAATTAACCCCAGGGGGTTTTAGCCACCCAGGATAACCCAAAAAAGTCAATGTCATCGAAGACCCACACCAGTCGACTAACACCCAGGTGAACAGGGAAATATGCCTGGAACTAGTGCTCATATTGGTGAATTTAAAGCCAGCAAAGGTTGGTTTGAGAGATTTAAGAATCGTAGTGGCATACACAGTGTGAAAAAGGGCCCTGTTCTGGAAGAATGCCAAACAGGACCTACAGTACTCAGGAGGAAAAGGCACTCCCAGGACACAGTGTCTCATCAGTCATTGCTGTATCTTCAATAAAGGTAAGTGTCATTTATTCTTCATTTAGTAGAGTAGTACATGCACAATATATACTTTGCATGTATACTCTAACTAATTTGTGTGTAGGAAAATGTATATTTCATGTGGTAAAAATTTTTTTTCATACTTTTGGGTGTCTTGCACGGATTAATTTGATTTCCATTACAGTGGAACCCCGCATAACGTTTTATTAATCCGTTCATGAGAGCTCATTGTTATGCGAAATTATCGTTATGCGAATGAATTTTCCCGAGGAGGTAACGTCGTAACCGTTCTCTTTAAAACAAGCTAGACCTAATGATATTAACTTGCGCACCAGAGCCCATGAACACATGAACGGGCGCTTTTATGGACAGAAGCTTGTACTAATGGACCAATCGTTGCATTAGAATTTATATGCAAAACAGGAAGGTGAGTTGTCATCGAGAAAGATTTTCTACTTCATCCCCAAATTCCTCTACGTCAGAGACGTGTGAAGCCACATCATCAGCGGGGATTGTCATTCTCGAGACTGCTTAAGGCTTCAAAGGAATTGTGAACGGGGATGGGTGTACTCATTATCACTTACCGTCACCATTGGGCGGTTTGACTGGGGCGCTCTAATTCCCCCGAATTGGAAAAATGAGCCTGGTTCTGATTAGAATGTGAACCACGACGTCTGTTTCCTCTCCTGGCTCTGCGGTTGGAAACGGCCATGGAAAGATCTAGAGTACCGCATATTGTAGAGCGCATTGCACTCAGATGTGTCATGTCCATGATTCTATGATGAGTACAGTAGGGAAGATCTGACTGGTACTCATCATCAGTACGACATTCTTTAGGGGGGATGTCATAACAATTACTAGCGATATGGCCACGGAAACCACAATTGTAGCAAATTCTTTGACTGTGGTTACTGTACGTACTAGGGGTTTATTACGGGAATGATGGCTCTTAAACACTTGCTTTGGATGATTGAGCGCGGGGTGATTGCGGTTGGGAGGTTTGGTAGTAGCACAAACTAAAGGAGGTACGGGTTTGGGGAAAAGGGTGTTTGGCGTAGACCTACGATAAGGAAAGGATCCTCGGGAACACAAATTTCGTACAGGGATTAGAGCTTTAAGCGGTCCCATATTAGCATCTAGCGGACTTTAATTGTACACATACTTAGATGTCGGGGCATTAGTTGTTTATAACTCCAAATGCAGCTAATCTGGCAAACCCCTCAAGGGCTGGTTTATCACTATCGTTAAAAATATCTTGAATTTTGGCCTGCTTTAACAAATGAGGACATTAGGTTATTGAGACGGAGAGCAAACTCCTCTAATGACTCTTCTGGTTCGGGGCTGTGCAAACTAATTCTTTGAGAAAACGAACGGATCGG